GATAGATAGATAGATAGATAGATAGATAGATAGATAGATAGATAGATAGATAGATCAATTGATCGATTGATCGATGATGTCAGATAATGGATGGATGGATAGATAGACAGACAGACAGACAGACAGACAGACAGATAGATAGATAGATAGATAGATAGATAGATCAATTGATTGATGATGTCAGATAATGGATGGATGGATAGATTGATCGATTAATTGATTGATCGATTGATTGATCAATGATGTCAGATAATGGATGGATGGATGGATGGATGGATGGATAGATAGATTGATTGATTATGGCGGTCAGCGGCGGCAACGCGGAGCTGCGCTAGAAAAAGAACAAAATCCTGGATAATTCTAGGAACCCCCCCTCCCCTGACCACCAATCTAAGGGCGGGGGCGAGACCAACACTCAGAACGGGCATTGAGCCCTAAAAAAGAAAAAGACGAGAACCAGGGAGCCGAGAAGAGGAGACCAAGGAGACCAAGTGGAGGAGGAGGCAAAAGCAGGAAGGAGCGCCGCCATTGCAACGCGGCTTAAGGAAAAACCTACCAGCGTTGTCGGTCCTCCGGCGGGGACTGGCCGGTTGCCTGGTCGGGCGGCCGTGTCCGGCGTTGGCGTTGGTCCTCGCTGCCACCTGAGCCGCCGCCGCCGGTCGGCTGGGCCGGTGCGAGACTCGACGCAGCCGCCATCTTGCCGCGCTGCTTGGGCAACAACAAACAGTCGGTTTACCTGAGGGTGGGTGACCGGGACAGAATAGGGATTCTGTTAGTGTACCGTCCACCTCGCTGCACTACAGTCTCCCTACCTGAGCTAGCAGGAGTGGTCTCGAGCCTGGTGTTGGAGTCTCAACAGCTTCTTGTGCTGGGAGACTTCAACATCCATGCCGAGGCGACCCTCACAGGTGCGGCTCAGGACTTCATGTCTGCCATGGCAACCATGGGGCTGTCCCAACAAATATCTGGCTCCACCCACTGTGCTGGACACACATTGGATTTGGTTTTCTGTCACGGATGGGAACAGGGTGGCGGTGTGGAGGAGTTGTCCATCTCTCCGTTGCCATGGACCGACCACTTCCTGGTCAGATTTAGGCTCACTGCGCCCCCTAACCTCTGCAAAGGTGGAAAAAAAGGACCCATTAAGATGGTCCGCCCCAGGAGGCTGATGGATCCAAATGGATTCCTGACGGCTCTTGGGGATTTCCCTGCCACCTCGGTAGGTGACCATGTCGAGGCCTTGGTCGCTCTCTGGAATGGGGAGATGACCAGGGCAATTGACATGATCGCTCCGGAACGTCCCCTCTCAAGTAGCCGAGCTAAACCAGCTCCTTGGTTTACTGAGGAGCTGGCAGTGATGAAGCGAAGGAAGAGGGAACTAGAGAGCGTGTGGCGTTCGGATCCGAGCGAGTCAAATCGAACACGGTTTGTGTCCTTTTTAAGGGCATATGCCGCGGCAATAAAGCCGCAAAGAAAACTTTCTTTGCGGCCACTATTGCGTCTGCAAAGAACCGTCCGGCGGAGTTGTTTCGGATTGTCAGAGGTCTTTTAACTCCCGCCACTTCAGGCGGGAGCCCTGACAATTCGGTCACGCGCTGTGAAGCATTTGCTCGGTTCTTAGACAAAGTCGCCTTGATCCGTTCTGGGCTGGACGCCGCGTTAAATGCAGTCTCAGAGGATGTAACAAGAGCACCTGCTTGTCCTATTTTGATGGATTCTTTTCAGTTTGTGAAACCCGAGGATGTGGACAAGATACTTGGAGGAATGAGGCCCACCACGTCCATCCTAGACCCCTGCCCATCCTGGCTTCTGAAGGAGGCCAGAGGGGGATTGGCTGAGTGGGTAACGATGGTGGTTAATGCCTCCCTTCGGGAAGGCAAGATTCCAGCATGCTTAAAACAAGCAGTTATAAAACCGCTGTTGAAGAAACCATCAGTGGACCCCACTAAATTCGACAACTTTCGGCCTGTTTCCAATCTCCCCTTTTTGGGCAAAGTCATGGAAAGCGTGGTGGCCTCACAACTCCAGGTATTCTTGAGAGACACGGATATTCTGGATCCGTCACAGTCTGGCTTCAGACCGGGACATGGTACTGAGACGGTCTTGGTCGCCTTAGTGGATGATCTGCGCCGGGAGCTAGACAGGGGGAGTGTGTCCCTGTTGGTGCTCCTGGACCTCTCAGCGGCCTTCGATACTGTCGACCACAGTATCCTTCTGGGGCGCCTTGCGGGAATGGGTCTTGGGGGCACTGCTTTGCAGTGGCTCCAGTCATTCCTGGAGGGCCGCACCCAGAAGGTGTTATTGGGGGACTCCTGTTCGACACCACAACCTTTGACTTGTGGGGTCCCACAGGGTTCCATACTGTCCCCCATGCTGTTTAACATCTACATGAAGCCGCTGGGTGAGATCATCCGGAGTTTCGGGGTGCGGTGTCATCTGTACGCAGATGATGTCCAACTCTGTCACTCCTTTCCACCTGCTACTAAGGAGGCTGTCGAGGTCCTGAACCGGTGCCTGGCCGCTGTAACGGCTGGATGAGGGCGAACAAACTGAAACTAAATCCAGACAAGACAGAGGTACTCCTGGTCAGTCGCAAGGCCGAACGGGATATAGGGTTACAGCCTGTGCTGGACGGGGTCGCACTCCCCTTGAAGGCGCAGGTTCGCAGCTTGGGTGTGACCCTGGATTCATCGTTGAGCCTGGATCCCCAGGTTTCAGCGGTGACCAGGGGAGCAGTTGCACAGCTTCGGCTCGTGCGCCAGCTGCGCCCGTATCTCGGGAAGTCTGACTTGGCCACGGTGGTACACGCTCTGGTCACATCCCGGCTTGACTACTGCAACGCTCTCTACGTGGGGCTGCCCTTGAAGACGGCCCGGAAGCTTCAGCTGGTTCAGCGCGCGGCAGCCATGTTACTAACTGGAGCGGGATACCGGGAGCATACAACGCCCTTGTTGTCCCAGCTCCACTGGCTGCCGATTTGCTACCGGGCCCAATTTAAGGTGCTGGTTCTGGCCTACAAAGCCCTAAACGGCTCCGGCCCAAAATACCTCTCAGACCGCATCTTGGCCTATGAGCCCACGAGGGCCTTGAGATCGTCTGGGGAGGCCCTTCTCTCGATCCCGCCTGCCTCACAGGCACGTCTGGCGGGGACGAGAGAGAGGGCCTTTTCAGTGGTGGCCCCCCGGCTGTGGAACACTCTCCCTGCTGACATCAGGCAGGCGCCCTCCCTTATGTCCTTCCGAAAAAGCCTTAAAACATGGCTGTTCGAGAGGGCATTTAATTAAGTGCTATATTAAAGTGGTTTAGACGACTGGAATGGAACAAGGAATATGAGATTGGTGACGATTCTACTATGAGACGAAGCGGATCAGTTAGTGTAATTTTAGGATTGTTGTATTGTTGTATTGTTAATAACTTGTTTGATAATGTCTTTTTGTAACTTGCTTTTTATACTGTACACCGCCATGAGTCGCCCTGAGGGGCTGAGAATGGCGGTTAATAAATGCATCAAATAAATAAATAAATAAATAGTAATAGTAATGGTAATAATTGTTTTGTGTTGCCTGTATGGTTCCTCTTCCTTCTGCAATTCTGCACTAGTAATAGCTTCCAGGGCAGCTCTATGTTGGAGCCAGATGTCTATTTGGGAAGTTGCCAGCTCATGAACCACTGTGGCTGAGTTATCCCTTGACAAGAAGCAAAAGCTCATTCTTTCAATAATTCTGTCAATCTGATGCCTTTCTTTTGCCTCCCTCCCTCCCTCTCAGATGGCAGTGCCATCTTCCGCGGTTGCTTCCGCCGCCCGGAGAATGTGTCACTAGCTTTGCCCGCCAGCCGATTGATGAAAAACATGTCGGTGGACCGCTGCGTGGACTTCTGCACCAGCAAGGTATGAAGAGAAACCAAAGGCCTTCCCATAAATCCTACTGGATCCCCCCTAGCAGACCCTTCCTTTTGTCCTATATCACCCCAGGAAACCAGAGCTGGGAAAACAGTGCCTTTAGAGAGTGAGTCATACTGGTGTTTTCAGTAGGGATCCTTCTTCTGATCGTCAAAGATCAGTGGTGAAAGGGAGACGTCCGCCTGTTGTGCCCCAATTAACAGAAGAACAATCTTCTGTTGCTTCCCCGGACCATCCTAAGTCCCTGTTCTTGTTGTTGTTTTGTGTTGTTGTTGTTGTTGTTGTTGTTGTTGTATGTCTGCCAGACACCTATGACTTATGACCATCCTGCCCTCTGCCACAGTTGCTCAGACCCACCCCAGGAAGCCAGAGCCGGGAAAACAGTGCCTTTGGAGAGTGAGTCATACTGGTGTTTCCAATAGGGATCCTGCTTCTGATTGTCCCACATCCCCCTGCCAGAATATTTAACTTTCCCTGCCCTTGCCACAGGAGGGTATTACAAAAATATGTTTGATGGGGATGGCATGGCCCTACAAATTCTAAGGGGTTAATGTGCCCTCCTCATGCTTGCCCACCCATATAGCCTCCAGTTGACCCAATCTGGCATGGACAATACCAATTCCTCCTCTGATGTCCCAGTTTCTCAGATGCTTTTAAAATGTCCTAGTTTCTCTCTCCTCCTCCCATTTACCCTGCCAAGGGAGCTTAAAGTGCAACAAGAGTTTGCCCTTGTCATAAATACTTTTTAAACTTTAAAAGGCTTTTAAAAGGTTCTTTTATTCTGTTCACATTGAGACAGAGTATTAGGACCTTTACAGAGAAAGAAGGTAGACGCACACGGATTATAGCTCCATTGGGGGCACAAACAAAGCATTCACACACATACACATTCACTTATCATCATGCATACATTACCATCTCTTCTTCCTTCTCCTGGAATAGAGACCCAAACATAGGCCAGCGTTCCCAGTAAATCTACCATTCTGCGAATACACCATCTTCCTCTGTCCCTTGGAGAAGATGGCAGGTGACCAGACTTCTCCAGTCTGCCACAATCTTTGGACAGTAAATTGCCTCTTATACAGCAATATTTCTGCTGATTTTGTTCCAAGAAATTGTAAATGAATGACAAATTGTTTTCCAGCTAAAACATGCTGACTCCATCAGTTCCAGACAGATGTTGGCTTTTCTTCCTTAAGTGATACTGGTTTTCTTTCATAATGTAAGGAACCATTTAAAAGAGTCATTGTCTCTGGTCATGTAAACATGTTGTTTTCCACCAAGAGTTAATCATTTGTCTCTGGCTATCAACAGTTCAGCTGTTCTCATCAACAACTTTGAGTTATAGTTCATGAATTCTCCTTTTGTAGTTTTCCAGACTTCGTTTCTTAGGATGGCATCTCTAGCCTCATATAGACTCCAACCATACTTCTTTCATACTACTTCATTCAAACTGTACATCTTTCATTCATCACATCTTCAGTTCACTCAGTAGGGAAAAGAAGGAAAGAAGGGGCAGAACCGTGCCCTTCCCAGTTGGTTCAGATCAAAGCAAATGGGTGCGCGGCTAGGGCAAGGCAGTCTTGGGGTGTTCTTGGAGGTGACAACCTTTTCTTGGTTGGAGACATTCTCCCATCTTAGTAACCTTCCTTTTGAGGAGCTCCGAACAGCACACGCACAATCCTATTGTGTGTGCAGGTCAACCTGAGTTAAATGTGAATGGGCCCAAAGGTTTTATTGATGGGGATTTGTTCTGGGCAGGGCTTCAGCCAGATGCCACCTCTGCTGAGCTTCTCGATGGCATGACGCTTTGTGTCTGTCCTTTGCCAGGAGTTCCCCTTGGCAGCCCTGGCCGGTGAGTCCTGCCACTGTGGTTTCCCCACCACCCTCTTCACTTTGCACGAGCGGGAAGATGAGCAGCTCTGTGCCCAGAAATGCAGTGGTGAGGAGTTTGAAAGCTGTGGCACTGCCAAGTATTTCATCATGTACCAGACACAGGTGCAAGGTAAGAAGGTGGGATTGGCACCAAGGTGGAATGGAAGGGGGATTGCCACTCGCTGATTCAGTGGAGAGGTTGCAAACTGCAACCGCTTCTCCCAGCTTGCTTCGTCTCCCTCTTCAATCCCTTTTGCCATCTTGGCCACGTGTGTCCCAATTTTAATCTGTGAAATATCGGTGGGTATGTGACCCAAGACTTGAATCCGTACCCCTTGCTGACATCTCACTTCTTATCCATTCACAGACAACCGCTGCATGGACCGCCGTTTTTTAACATCTCGGGCCAAGCAGTTCATCGCCTTGGCGAGCTTCCCAGGCGCAGGCAACACCTGGGCCCGGCACCTCATTGAACTCGCTACAGGCTACTACACCGGCAGCTACTACTTTGACGGTTCTCTCTATAACAAAGGTGAGAATGTCCCCACAAAATCAGCAGCTTGTGGGATGACTTTTGGGGAGTCAGGGTGAAGGCTAGCAGAGGGGAGCATTTGGAAATATGAACGTAGATTACAAGAGAGTTAGAAGATTATCACACAACACCATTGAAGTGCTCATATTCCACTTTAACTGCTATGGCTGCTGGTAGAATCCTGGGATTTGCCATTTAGGGAGAGCCCTTTAAAATTCTCAGCCAGAGATGTCCTGGGCCTCACTAAACTACATCCCCCAGGATTCCTCAGGGGGCAGCCATAGCAGTTAAAGTAGAATAACAATGCTTTAACAGCGTTGTGTGATCATCCCCTCTGTTTCCTATTTCCCCTCCTCTTCCATTTGAGCATTGCTTCCTTTCTCTGTGTTCCTATCTCAAACTCCTGCCGTGTGCTTTTCTTTCCTTCTCCCTTGGCTCCAAAGGGTTCAAAGGCGAGCGGGACCACTGGCGCAGCGGGCGGACAATCTGCATCAAAACCCACGAGAGTGGGCAAAAGGAGATCGAGGCCTTTGACGCAGCCATCTTGCTGATCCGCAACCCATACAAGGCCCTCATGGCGGAATTCAACCGGAAATATGGCGGCCACATTGGCTTTGCGTCCCACGCCCACTGGAAAGGGAAAGGTAGGCACGGCAACCTGTCGGGGAAGCCATGGCCCACCTTGCGATCCTCTCCTGCCCGCTTTTAGAGATCGGCAGTGATGCGGTTTCTTGCCCATTGATCCCAAAATTAAAATCCGTTGATGACAGGGTGATAATGAAGCAAATATAATCAGCCCGATCTGGAAAATTTGGCAGGCCCCACATCTTACAAAGAGACCTATTATATTTGACTACCCACCATTTCATGCCACCCTCCACTGAAAGAATAATTGAACCTGTGCCCGGTGTCATGAAGCATAAGTAGCACAATTCACCGTGCATCATCCCTGTGTGTAAAACTTTGCTTTAGAAACCAGTCTGTGTTGTAAAATTAATGAAACAAAATTAATGAAACAAAATAAAGAATTTAAAATATAGATATAGTTCCTCCCCCCAACCCCCCCCCCCCCAACTAGGTTGGATATGTATGGCTGGTTTCAGTGGCAAAGTGGGGACAAAAGGTAATCCTGATAGGCTCCCTCTCTTCTTCCAGAATGGCCGGAATTTGTCAGGAACTACGCCCCCTGGTGGGCCACCCACACTCTGGATTGGTTGAAGTACGGCAAGCGGGTCCTCGTGGTCCACTTTGAGGACTTGAAACACGACCTCTTCATCCAGCTCAAGCGCATGGTGGGCCTCTTGGGCATTGCCGTCTTGGAGGACCGGCTCTTGTGTGTGGAGGGCCAGAAGGATGGCAACTTCAAGCGCTCCGGCTTGCGGAAGCTGGAGTATGACCCCTACACACCAGAGATGAAGAAGACCATCAATGGCTACATCAAAACCGTGGATACAGCCTTGAAATTTCGGAACCTGACGGGTGTCCCAGAGGACTATTACCCGAGATGATGGCCGTGGGCAATGGGGAGGTGGTTTGGGGCTGGGAGGCCCGGACTCTCCCCTGGAAAGGTGCCCTGGGTTTCCTGAGCTGGGAACAATTTCCACCCAGTGGGTGGTTCTGCTCTTGGCGCTCATTCCACTGCTGATGAATTCCCTTGCATGAGCAAATGTGCTGTCACCCACCCTTGGCAAAGCTGCCTGCACCACCGTTATGTTTGCTGGGCACTGTTGTGCACCAACTTCAGCCTTGGACTCCATGGCACCTCAAAACCTTTCCTTCCCCTGGAACCCCCGTAACGCTGGTCGCTTCCATTCTTTTCTAGCTGGTTGCAACCCTATGATGCTTTTGGGGCCCCGATAACCCTGGAAGAAAAATCAGGTCAGGGTGGTGTATGGCCTTTGTTCATTGTTTTTTTCAGGAATGTCTCCCTGGCATGTGGGGGGTGCTCTGCTGCTGGACACTTGGGACCAGAAACACAACAATGCTTGGGGACCCAAGTGGGCCTTACCACGGAGTACAACGGTTGGTAGAATCCCGAGGGATGTGCCACCGCAGAGTGTGGACCAGTTATTTTGCGGGCAGTTCAGCTCCCAGAATCTCCCAACCAACATGCTGGTTGGGGGAAATTCAAGCGTATCTGCTGCCTAACGTCACTGGCCTCTGATCTCTGTTCATTTTATTCTTCTATCCAGGGAGTTGTGCTGTTGTTGTTGTTGTTGTTGTTTGAAAGGTGTGGGATTCAAAATGGCTACCTCCTCCAGCTGCTGCAGTGGGCCATGCTTTGCCCACTCCGGCATTCGGCAGTTGAACGGCTGCAGAGGGGCAGTTGGGGTCGACCTTGCAGCCCACATCTCCTTGGTATTTTTCAGCCTGCAAACCGGGCAAAGGGAGATGCTCCTCCTTGCATTTGGTTGTGCATGCCACCACCCCGGAGACTCTCTGCTGACGACCTTTTCACCTATTTTCTCATCCACCTCTGCGCTCAAGAGTACAGAGCAGGACTATGGCCTTCCAGAAGCCCTTGGCCAATGCCTCCTTCCTGCCCTCGCCAACGCAATCCATGTGGAATTGCGCTTCAATGTGACATGGAGGCTCACCAGCAACCCATACCTGGTTGAGAACTTCTCACAGTGTTCTCCTTTTTCATTGCTTTGTGAATAATACGGCCCGTGTTATAATTCCCCTGGAGATGCCCCTTGGTGGAGGGGAAATGGCCAGACCATTGCCTAACAAACCGCTCACCTCCTTTGGGATGTGCGTGCTTGCTGCTGCTTTCCCTCCCCACTTTTTTTTCCTCTTTTTCTCTTTTGAAGTTCAGCCTCAACAACTCTGCAGAGGTCCTTCTGCTCCTGAATGTATTGGGGAAGGAGCAGTAACAGCAAATGTTTTGTGTGTCTCTTGGGGGCGGGGGAGGGGGGGTGTTGTTGCTTTCTTTTGAACCTTCCTTTTGCAAAAAAACCATTTCAATTTAGTGCAAGTGAGCTCTGGTTTCAGCTTTGCACCCTCCATCCGCTGAACTCTGTCTGAAAAATCCTCAGGTCAAATGCTGCCCATTAAACCAATGTTTTGTTAATATTTCTATGGTGCGGTTGAATGGTGTTTTTTCTTGCGAAGGGGTTGCGGCTATGACTCAGTCATGTCTCTTGGGCCCACTCAAACTGGCCTGGTTCAATGTTATGACATCCTGGAAGTCGCAGTTTGGCAAGACACCCTTTGACAAATAACCCGGTAAAACTACAACTCCTATAATTCCATAGCATGAGGTCATGCAAGTTTAAGTGGTGTCAAACTGTATCCAGACTACACAGAAGAGTTACGCATCAGTGGCCCTAGGCTACGAACTTAAATTTTGGAGGAAATAATACAAGGGTTGAGAGAGAATCCTTCCAGTATGTCTTTCACCCAGTTCTGAATATTTTAGGGGATATGTTTTTCACCATTTATTTTTATTTTTGGGGTGAGGTGGTAAATATTGTCGCTGACTCTTTCCATCTCTTCCCGGATAGTGATTGAGGAATTGGAATGAGAAGTTAAGCTTCCCAGAGATATGGGCTTGCCTCTCTCTGTTCTATGCCAAGGAGGCTGTCAGAGAGGCCTGTGCTTGTTCCTCCGTAGTTCCCTCCCCTTCTCTTTTTATCTCCCTCGCTTCCCAGAGTTTTATTTCTTTTTTCTCCGGCGCTGGCTGTGGTGCTGAATACTAAATCCAGCCTGGACTCTCCTGAGACTCCCCATCTTGGTTGGGTTCGGGCACAAAGGATGTGAGCAGCATATTTTTCCAGAGATGTCGGTGCTCACAAAGACTGGGAACAGGGAAATGTGGATGCAGGGAGATAGATCTGCTTCAGCCTGGCCCTGTCCTTTCAAGATCCTATATTTATGTGCAAAAGAGGGTTCAATGGAGAATCATGTTTGAAGTATTCACCCTGAAAGCCATAACCAAGGGCTACTGGGGCTAAAACTGTCATCATCAAAAGGCAACATGTGTCCAAAATATGTTACCCAAAGTAGGGGTGTGCAAAATGGCAGAAATCCATTCTGTATTTTGGGAAGATTCCGAGAAATGAGGAGCAGGGTTGTTTGAAGTCTAAATTTGGGATCTGGAAATCTATTTCCATTTCAGGAAGAATAGTTCCAAAAACAGAAGTGGGGGGAGAATTTTAAACAAAAACAGAACGAAAACAGAATTGATTTCTGCCATTTCACACACCCCTAACCCAAAGCTTTTCAATAAGGAAATTAAAGAAGGGATTTTGGGTTTTGTTTTGGAGAGCTGGAGGTTCATGCCAGGTGAACAAGCCAAGGAAGAACTGTGGTGATTGACGGATACAGATGCTTCCTGTACGTTTGCTAACTATACTTTCCAACGGCCCCCTTTGCAACAGATTTAGCCCATTTTTTTTTTGGAAGTAATTCCATTAAGAAGGAGTGATGTCGCTTCGGCAGACTGATGGGAATACATTATTATCCACTTTGGGCATTCAGTTGGATTCACTGTTTGGAGAATCAGAACAGAGACAGACAGCAATGGGGTTGCAAGCGAGGCTGGAGAAAGTTCCTTATTTTGGAAGACAATTCCCAGAATTCTCCAGCCAACAGGGTTTCGAATCCCTGCTCAGCAGTGCACACTCACTGAGTAGCCGTGGGCACATCACACTCTCTCAACCTCTGAGGAAGGCAAACCCAAAAGTGAAAGCCCCAGCATAGGGGCTCCGTATGTTGGAAATGCAATGCTGCTCTGAATTTCTAACCTTGTAAATGTTAAAAAAATACCTCTGGCCAGGCAATGCTTTCTGAGGATGGAGGGAAATGACTCATGACCCAAGTGACCCAAGGGGGCAAAATGCCTTGGCTCCAAACAGCCTGACATCAGTTGCTTTGCTGATAAAAATGGAGACAGAATGGCTGGGTGCCCCATTTTGCTGCTGCTCGGGCCTCCTTCCAGCCCAAACAGGAAGTCTTGCTGAGCAGTTCCTGCTGAAAAAAACCCGAGGACTGAGACTGCAAGGGCAGAGCCATGCCAAGACATTGAGCAATGCCACTGCCCCAATATACCGCCTCAATGCCAGTCCTAGCCCAGTGGCATCTGATCTAAAGGAGTATAGGTTCAAATTTTCACACAGCCATTGAAACCCCTGGTAGAATCACACACTCTCAGCCTCAAAGGGAGGCAAGGGCAACTTGCCTCTCAACAAACCCCACACTAGTTTCACTGTAGGGCAGTGGTTCTTAACCTGCAGGCCGCGGACCACCAGTGGGCCGCAAGGACAAATATCTGGTCTGCAAGCCTCCTTCCTCTTTATTTATTTATTTATTTATTTTTCACTCCTTTTGCGCTGCCTGCCACTCCTTCTGTGTCGCTGACCATGGCATGTGTTCTGTATCAGAAACTAGAGCTGATGTGGCCTATCCAATGTAATTTTCTGAATCAGCACCCCAAACCAAATCTAAAGTTGACCAAAAACTGATTCGTAACCCTTTGGTAGCAATGTTGGAGAGTGGTCCCTCATCAAAGTGGTCCTTGGTCAAGTGGCCCCTGGTCAAAAAAAGGTTGGGAACCACTTCTTTAGGGTCACTGTCAATCCCAAACAACCTGGGGGCACATCACAACGAGGCCTAAAACAGCTCAAGGTTGCTGAGTTGGGGACACCCAAAAGCAATTTATGTCTTTAATTTTCATCCAGTCTGCAACCCATCTGGCACCTTCTACTGGTGTCAGGTTCAGAGCCTGAGAAAGGAGTGATGCAGAATCTGAGCCGAGTGCATACAGAGCTCAGTCTCGCCTTCCCCGCAGTGATCGGAAGAGAAGCTGCGAGCCCGACATGCGCCCAGGTTCTGTTCCCATTTCATTAACCTGCCTGACATGATTTATGCAAGGCCAGGATTAATTCCCCCAAATGGCCACCTTGGGAAGTAGGTTGGGGGACACATGGCTGTGATGAACAGATAAATGGAGGGGGCTGTGAGGAGGTCAGCTGGTGGCACCGTGCTTCATGTAGTCGGCAGAGGTGACCTCTTGCTCTGCAGCAGCGCATGTGGGCCTCGCTTGGCTGGGTTGGCTTGACAGGCCCACTTCCCAAGCCGGCACAGATGGAGGTGGGAGAGGCAGGAAGAAAAAATGAGCCCAAGAAAAAAAGGGCAAGGTGCCACAACCAGTATAGCCCATTACCCTATTTGTTGGGCGATACTGGGAGCTGTAGTCCACAAAGCAACTCCTTGCCATCTTTTGCCTTTGCAAGCTGTTGACAATCAATTCATTGAAAATATAAGCTTCATTAATGCTGTAATCTTGTGGATACTTAATTGTGAATAAGACCCACTTAATCTAAGTGAGACTAATTTCAGAGTAAACCACATGCATAAGACTGGTCTGTAAGTATCCGATGGACTTAAATCATTAGCTTGAATCCAGTCGTTCCTTTCTAATACAATTTCCGTTCATCCTTCTTCAGAATCTGCAATTACAGAAAAAGCATCTCTATCAACGCATTGGGGCTGAATACAACTTTCTGTTAAACATTCAATTCATTTGGACTTCACAACTTTGTGTGCCATTAGCTACAGGTCTCATTTGTAAAAGTCATTTTTTTTTACAAAATGCATAAGGTTGTGGGTGAACTACAACTCACATTATGCCAGGTTAACCCCTGAATCTCCATCAGAGGCTAAAGTTTGTCATGTTGGGCAAATTTGCTCTCTAGATGCATCATTGGTGGGGTCCATGTGGTCTCTGGCTGCAGGATGAACTACAGCTCCCACCATGGTGGGTCAGTCCCCTCAAACCCCTCCGATAGATTCAGTTGGTCATAGAGTGTTTAGCGTGCCAAATTTGGTCCAGGTCCATCATTGGTGGGGTTCAAAGTTTCTCTGGTTGTAAGTGAACTACAACTCCCAAAAATTGAGGTCAATCACTCCCATACCCCACCAGTATTCAAATTTGGGCATGCATGCTAAATTTGGTCCAGATCCATCAGTGCTTAGGTTCACAGTGCTCTCTGGATGTGGGTGAACTGCAACTCCCCCAAATCTTCGGGAATTCCCCAAGAAGCCCTCCAGTAGTTTTTGTTGGACATGGGGGTTCTGTGTGCCAAATATGGTTGAGATCCATTGCAGTCAGAACTACATCTTCCATCATACTGAGTCAATCCCCTAGTCCTCTCCACTCTGTTTGCTGTGCCCCACAGAAAACAGTAGGAAAGGGTTATGGGAGAGGCAGTGGGTAGGATCATGAAAATTCCACATCAATGGAGAGAGTCAGAAACACTGAGATGCCTGTGGTGGACGAAACACATACAATCTAGGATGATATTGTCACCGTATGAAAGCCTTCACTTGGGTGGTGGGCAGTATGCGCTTGCTATAACCTGCAATGTCATTGGAGGAAGGGCCATTGTTGGCTCCTCATGGGTGGGGATCATAGCTGTTTGTGGAAGTGGGAGCTTGTCTGTGAAAATGGCCACCCCAGCCACACACGCATACATATTTTCACTTTTGTTATGGATATAGATCTAGATAATTGTTGCAAGTTTCACACCAATACCTCTCACAATGAAGGAAAAAGGAGCCTGAAGTTTCCCCACTGGGACAATTACGGAACGAAAAGTAACAAAAAAGTACTTAACTCATTATAGTTATGATACGAACCCTGTCCAATTTCAGAAACACTTTAGAAATTATTTTTCCCCACCCCCTAATTTTGTAATGAGTATTGGAATCTTTTTTTCCATTGATCACACAGGCATTGTGTTCACTAATTCTCGCATTTCCCCACATCCAAGCAACGCGACCTCCTTTCCAACATACCAACTTGGCTCTCGTGTCCCCGTTACTCAGCCTTCTCTTCTCCAGACTACACATCCCCAGCTCCCAGCTCCATAGGAATTCATGCATTCCAGTCGTTTGGCCATTTGGGCCACCCTTCTCTGGGCACCTTCCTGCAGGTCCTGCTCCTTCTTGAAGCAATAGTGAACTATTTTATTTATTTATTTATTTACAGTATTTATACCCTGTCCTTCTCACCCCAAAGGGGACTCAGAGAGGTTTACAGAACACACATACGGCAAAAATTCAATGCCAGTTATACAATTAACAAGGACAGACAACACAAACAGAGGTAAAGGCAGTTTTTCCCATCTTGTTCCAGCATCTTGGAGGCTGTGCTTGACTCCGGTCACATGGGGTGCTGTTGCTCCATCTTCCATGCCAAGGAGCTTTCCTCCAATCAATGTCCTTAAGGGCGCCTTTATTACCTCTCTGCTAAAAGCGGTACCTATTTTATCTATTCGCAATTCTGCTTTCGACCTGCTAGGTGGACAGGTGAGCTGGGACTAACGGCAGGTGCTCACCCCGACTCAGGCTCAAACTACCTACTTTTTCATTGGCAAGATTTTTCTGTAGCCCAGCGTTTTAACATGGTGTGCTAAGCCCGGCCCCTATCTCCAGAAGACATGCAACTTGAAGCTGACATCTCACACATTACAAATCTGCACTGAAATCATAAGTCACAAATGTGCAACCAAGCTCTTTGTGTGTCTAAGGCCGCCGTTTCTGCAAAGCCACCGCCCGTCCCTCACTTCTTGTTATGGATGTCCCTCCTCTCAGGGCAAAAGAAGAAGCTAATATCATATTTACTTGAATGTAAGGCACATCTTTTTTGGCCGTTGCAAGAATTCTTCCCCTTTGCATATTTGCATATTTCACAAGAAAGAATTCTATGACAGAATTTAACGTAGCCATGATGACACACCAGATTTAAAATTAGAGAAGTAATATGCAGCAGGGCAAAAACCAAAGCAGGAGTAGAAACTTAGGTCCTATGAAGGGTTAAACTTACCACAGCTCTGTTACTCTGTACTCACGTCTCCTTCTCCCCAATGGAAATAAACTCTTTATAGATGAGATGGCATGCTTGGCACCTTCCCCCACAATTTTAGTTTGCCTCTTAGGATAGGGACAGACATTTGTGCCTGGCAGGCATTGTCCTCATGCACATCTTGACATGTTTCAAGCAAAATGAAAAGCAAAAAGTTCAGTAGGAATTGAGTTCCCCTGCAGTTGGAGATATGGGCATGGCTTCTGCTTGCACCCAGCTGGGAAGGGGCTCAAAAGGGTTGGAAATCCATTTTTTGGTCATGAGCACCTCAAAATGGAGGTACGCATTACAATCAGTGGTGCATTAGACTCGAGTAAATTCAGTAGTTGATTGCCCTCTTTCTGTCATGTTTGTCGATTTACCACTTCATCCCATTCTTTAAATACTACTGAGCTACCCACTTAAGAAATGGCAACCTAGTGTTCATCACATGACATAGGCTTCAAGTGTAGGGTAGAGATCTTTTGGCATTTTAAAAGGGTTGCAATAATAATAATAATAATAACAACAACAACAACAACAACAACAACAACAATAACGTTTTATTTGTTACACTCCGTGTCTCCCCGGGAGAACTCAGGGTGGTTATCTTTTCAAACACTTTCTAAGCTGGCCAGCAAGTGACTTTTTTGTAAATTAGCCAGATAGACATGGGCAAAATGGTCAATTCTGACATGTGATGGTATTTGTTAATCTCAACTTTATGACATTGATAACCCAGGAACAAAAACCATAGTCTGGGAGAGGAGGTGTTTATTTTCACAAAGAAAAGGGGGGCAGGACAGCGGGTGAGAACAACTCTCTGCAATGGGATGGCAAATCAACTGAGGACTCCTGAATAAAATGGGTAATATGCTAGTGTGTGATGGAGATTGGAAAATCAGCCATTTGATTTCAAAACGGAGTATGCCTGAGCTGTATGGTAAACCTACTCTTCCAAACGCTTGACATGTTCAGTGGGATGAAGTCTCTAAAATAATGCCACCCTCTCTTTTTTTATATACAAACAGAGCCACTTGCCCACTGGTCTCTCTGAGAGAGAGCATCGGCATGCATCAGGGAAACCCTAACCCTGGCCAGCACAGAGCAGGACGGGTGTCTTCCTGAATGACACTTTCTTTTCCTTAGCTGCAGCTCGGCAGAGAGAATGGCCTTCTCCACGAAACAATCTGTTCTTCCGGCGCAAGGCAGACCTGCTCTTGATCTTGTGCACGTCACATTAACAGGATTCGGGGAGCATACCTTTGAGCATTTCATGATCTATGGTGTACGGTTAGAAAGGGAGCAAACAAAGGTGGCCAAAGTAGGAGTGAGGGGACTCCCCCATCCACCTGCTGTTGAGAAACAGATGTGTTTCAAAGTCGCCTTCGGGCTGATATGGGCGGGATAGAAATAGCGTAAATAAATAAATAAAGGAAAAAGACGACCAGCACATAAATATCCAGAGAGATAATGGAACTCGTACAACCACCCGCCGTCCCCAACAAGCTTATTCCTTAATGCAGGTGGATCAAGCAAGGTATTATGGGTATGTGTGACCTCCCAGGGGAAAGGTTGCACATCATAGTAGGCTTGTGCATTTCAGGAGAATCGCTATCTGTTTCTGCTTGCCGAAAACCGGAAGACCCCGTTTCCTTTTTGGGGTGCCTCCCGAAAACAGGCATGCTCCTGAATGGGTGTTTTTTTTCTCCAGACAAAAAAATGGATATTTTGACCCATTAGCCACAATGGGAGAGGGGGTCCCAGGCTCCCCTTCCCCTCAATTTTAGGAATAGAGGGATGAAAATCACCACACTTGGAGGGCACATCTATCCCTGTTAGCTCACCAAGTTTTATAATGTTTGGGTCAGCCCCTAATTTTGGGGAATTTTTTTTCATTCAAGAAACAAAATCTCCTTAAGTACATTCCCTATCTCCCACTGGCCCCGCCCTCTAACTTCTCCAGAAGCAGCAGCAGAGAGGGAAGAGAGGGCAGGCACTATTCCTTCCTGCCAAATGTCAAAGATGCACCAAACCACACAGCCCAGTGCCCCACTATTTCACTTTCTTCTTCACTAATTAAAAAACAACAGCAAGCCAATCAACTTCTTCCAAAGTTTTTGTAACAGCAGCAAGCAAGCATTGTCCCCTTATTTTAAAAGTGCTGATCCACTGGGGGGGGGGGGGGGCTTTCCAAAATGTATTGTGGAAAATGAAGCCATGATTTTATTTGGGGGGGGGGACATGTTTTCAAGTACAGAGCAGGTCATCATTAGCCTCACTGATTCAGAAAGGTGTGGCATCGATGGCAGCCCCTAAAAAGGACCATAGAGGGGCTCAGGGACAAGGGGAGAGGGATGACTTCAGGTCAGGGGCGAGGTGGTTGGCTGGCCACCCCACAATGAGCCAATTAGTCCCCCAAAGAAGGAAAGGGTTAGGGGGCGGGAAGGAGGAGACCCCCAGGACAGCCGGGGGTCAGAGGTAAAGTGGTTGGCTGACCATCCCACCCTTTAAGTCTAGCAGCTGGCCAAATAAGGGAAAAGGAGCTGGTGGCCTTTGACAGCTGAGTGAGGATGGTATGTCTTCCTTTTAAGAAGCCAAAATGCTTGCCAAGGTAGCGTGAACCTAACCTATTATACTATTATTTCTTTCATGTTGTGCGGGTTTTTGTACCAGGAGGGCCCTTCCCATTACGTGCTCTCAAGGGTACCGAATGAAAACAGATCCATGCACAAGTCTACATCATAGCCCCGTTGCAAAGAGAAATAAATGATCCCATCTATAGGGGAGCCCAATGTCAGAATTGGAAAGGGAGAACAAACTCCATGAGCTCTCTCTCAAATGAACTGCTTGTGAAATCGGAACGACAGAATGCCTTGGCCCACTTTATATAGAAAAGGTTTATCCATGGACCATGGAATCTCCTGCCCAAAAAAAGACAACAAAAAGAGCAAGAAATTGACAGGCTATATGAAAGGATGAGTCGCCGGAGTGTGATTTCTGGTGCAGAACTGCATGAGCATTCAGACACATGGGCACATCTTTGGGTCGATTTGCTAGATAAGTCAAAAGTAAAAATGGCCAATAAAATATATATGTTAGGAAACCCGGGGCTGGTTGTGTCCTGTCTGCCTGTCCATGTGGAATAAAGTCAGCTCAAACAATTGGCTTAGAAACTTAAAAACAGGAGCTTTCATAGAATCATAGAATTATAGAGTCGGAAGGGACCCCCAGGCCATCTAGTCCCACCCGTTTGCCAGACAGGAAGACACAATCAAAGCCCTCCTGACAGGTGGCCATTTTGCCTCTGCTTAAAACCCTCCAGAGAAGGAGGCTCCACCAGACTCCAAGGCAGATTCATTCTTAGAAGTTAAGTTCCTAGGCCTCATGGGTTGTCAGGTGCACTTGAAAACAATTAGGGGATTATTTGCATGTGTCCCAGAGCTCAGGATAAAATGGTTTCCTTTTCTGTCATGGAGGAGGGTTTGGTGAAGCTCCGACGGGGGATCATGGAGTGAACCGTGTCCTCGCTCAGTGCACTGGCCAGCCGGGACAGGACAGTCATCTTGAATTTTTGGAAATCTTGGCCCAAAAAGACATACAGGACTGGGTTCATGCAACTATTGGAGGCCGCAACAGCCGTGACGATGGGGAGCCCAAACTTGAGGACAGACTCTGGGATGGAGTGGTGCTGGGTTTCCAGGAGTTGGAGCACATGGTAAGGGCACCAGCACAGGAAGAAGGTCAGGATGATGGCAATGATGATCTTCATGGGCTTCTTGGACTTGGCCAGGCGGTTCCGTTTCAGCCGGACAATGATGACAACGTAACACACGGTGATGACGCTCAGCGGCAGGACAAAGCCCACCACGAAGCGGGTGAGGGTGACCGCCATGTGGACCTGATCGCCCAGGGGACGGTCCAATGGGGACGAGGACATAGAGAAGTTGTTGAAGCAAATGAGGTGGTCACGCACAAGGCCGATGTCACGGAAAACCAGGGATGGGGAGCTCATCACAAAGCCAAGGGCCCAAATGGCGAGGCAGGCCAACCAGGCACTCTTGGTGTTGCGGTGGTTTTGGGACCAGACGGGGCAGACCACCAAGATGTAGCGGTCTAAGCTGATGATGGTCAGCAAGAAGACGCTTGTGTACATGTTGAGGTTGAGGAGCAAGGAGTTGACCTTGCACATGCCTCGGCCAAAGAGCCAGTGGTAGCCCAGGGCAGTGTAGGCGATGTTCAAGGGCAGAAAGACATTGAAGAGGAAGTCGGCAGCGGCCAGGTTGAGGAACCAGATGATGCTGACTGACTTCTTCATCTCGAAGATGATCATGGTGATGACCAAGCCATTGCCCACTAAGCCCAGGAGGCAGGTTACACTGTAGATGATGACGGCGAGGAACTGAACGAGCTGCACTGTGGGGGTGGGGTTTGCCTGAAAGGTTTCTTCGGTGGTGAAATTGCTGTCATAGTAGTCAGAGTAATCCACTGAATAATCCTCAGTGGACCCCATGTTGGTCAATAAAAATAAAATTAAAAAATTAATGCCAAGTAATTGATAGCACACAAAGATCAGAAATTTCGGGTGTCTTGTAGTAGAAGATTATCACACAACACTGTTAAAACTATCACACTTTGAATCCTATGATCATCTCCTGTGGAATTCTAGCGTTTGTAGTTTAAGTGAGGACCAGGACCTCTCTGGATGAGACTCCCCTAAACTAGATCCCAGGATTCCACCAGAGGCCATGCTTTCATGGTGGGGATTGCTGCTGGTTCCATTTTGGTGAGGTTATAATTCTGGAATACCTTGAGTTTCTCCTCCACTTTCTATAAAATGTCTGGACTCCTTGTCAATTTAGGATGAACTTAGTTCTTCATGAGCTACTTTCGTGCATTCCTCCGCCACCTGGAAGAAAAGAAAGTCAGACATTAGGCATGCAATGGATTGACATTGTGAAGCTGAAGTGGCAACTCTAGGGCTCTATAAGCACAAAGTGATTGATCAATGCATTGGCTGAGCCTTCTTAGTGGTGGCCCCTTGGCTATGGAACTCACTCCCTAGTGACATCAAACTGGCCCCCTCCCTCCTGGTCTTCAGGAAAAAGTTAAAGACCTAGCTCTGAACGCAAGCATTCAGGGAGTAGTGTAGTATGGAATCCAACTGGAATTGTAGCAGCTTGAAGAATTACTACAGGACTCGGCGCAATATATTTCTTAATCTGTTTTATTGTAATTATATTTTAACTGTTTTAAATTTATATAGAATCACAGAATCAAAGAGTTGGAAGAGACCTCATGGGCCATCCAGTCCAACCCCCTGCCAAGAAGCAGGAATATTGCATTCAAAGCACCCCTGACAGATGGCCATCCAGCCTCTGTTTAAAAGCTTCCAAAGAAGGAGCCTCCACCACACTCCGGGCAGAGAGTTCCACTGCTGAACGGCTCTCACAGTCAGGAAGTTCTTCCTCATGTTCAGATGGAATATCCTCTCTTGTAGTTTGAAGCCATTGTTCGTGTCCTAGTCTCCAGGGAAGCAGAAAACAAGCTTGCTCCCTCCTCCCTGTGGCTTCCTCTCACATATTTATACATGGCTATCATATCTCCTCTCAGCCTTCTCTTCTTCAGGCTAAACATGCCCAGCTCCTTATGCTGCTCCTCATAGGGCTTGTTCTCCAGACCCTTGATCATTTTAGTCGCCCTCCTCTGGACACATTCCAGCTTGTCAATATCTCTCTTGATTGTGGTGCCCAGAATTGGACACAATATTCCAGTGTGGTCTAACCAAAGCAGAATAGAGGGGTAGCATTACTTCCCTAGATCTAGACACATGCTCCTATTGATGCAGGCCAAAATCCCATTGGCTTTTTTTGCCGCCACATCACATTGTTGGCTCATGTTTAACTTGTTGTCCACGAGGACTCCAAGATCTTTTTCACACGTACTGCTCTCGAGCGAGGCAACCCCCATTTTGTATCTTTGCATTTTGTTTTTCCTGCCAAAGTGGAGTATCTTGCATTTGTCACTGTTGAACTTCATTTTGTTAGTTTTGGCCCATCTCTCTAATCTGTCAAGATCGTTTTGAATTCTGCTCCTGTCCTCTGGAGTATTGGCTATCCCTCCCAATTTGGTGTCGTCTGCAAACTTGATGATCATGCCTTCTAGCCCTTCATCTAAGTCATTAATAAAGATGTTGAACAGGACCAGGACCAGGACGGAACCCTGCGGCACTCCGCCCGTCACTTCTTTCCAGGATGAAGAGGAAGCATTGGTGAGCACCCTCTGGGTTCGTCCATTTAACCAATTACTGATCCACCTCACCGTAGTTTTGCCTCGCCCACATTGGACTAGTGTTATATTTATTATTGTTTGTGTGATGTGGCATGGAATTTTGGCATGGTCTGTAAGCCGATCTGAGTCCCCCTTGGGGTGAGAAGGGTGGGGTATAAATATAGTAAATAAATAACTAAATAAATAAGTTCCTGATTGAAGAACACACTCACCAGATGAAGACAGTCACGGAGGTTTATTAGCAACCCAGTCAGAAAGGATGTAAGTATAACTGATGCCCAAAATGTACAAGCATACGAGGGATGTTCATTAAAGATTTCCCCTGACCCACTTCCTGTGGACTGAGAGTAATGAAACTTGGCACATTTATGAGTCCTTCTTTCCATTGGTGCCACCTAGGGACACACACTTCTCCCATCTTTTTAAGCAACTGTAAACACTTCACTTGTAGAAGTCGACAGGTTGCTCCAAAAGCCACATTGTGATTTTGGAAATCAGAGTCTTGTCATCTGAAAAATGCTTTCCCTTCAAAAATACCTTCATTGCAGGAAAAAGGTGGAAGTCCAATGGTGCGAGGTCAGGTGAGTAAGGGGGATGTGGTAGAATTTCAAAGCCACAGGAGCATGCTTCCATTTGGGCAACAGATGAGTTGTGAACCGGTGCATTGTCTTGCAGAAGGCAGACACCTTTGGTAAGCATGCCACGTCTCTTGGCTTTGATGGCCTCCCACAATTTCCACAGCAGTGAAGCCTAGTATGCCCCAGTGATCATGGTCCCCTTTGCTAGGAAATTCATCACTACTACTCCGTGTTGGTCCCAAAATACTGTGAGCATGACCTTGCCTGCCAAGAGTTGGGCACGTTCCTTCTTTGGAGGTGGTGAGTCAGGATGCTTCCATTGCATTGACTGGACTTTAGTCTCAGGATCATAGTGATGGACCCAGCTTTCATCCTGTGTGATCAGTCTGTTGAAAAAGTCCTCCTGGTCTCCATGGCACATCATTGTCGATAGAGCCTGAGAGCATTCAACTCGTTCCTGCTTCTGGAAAGGTGTGAGCACCCGGGGGACCCAGCGAGCGGATACCTTATGCATGTGAAGATGGTCTTGGATGATTTTTTCCACGGACCCCACACTAATCTTGTCATTTTGGGCTAGGGGACGAATGGTTATGTGGCAATTTTTCAAAATGGCAACCTCCACTTGCTGGATGGTGTGTTCATCAATAGCAGAGTGGAGTCGCCCTGGAATTGGAGCTGTTTCCACCGAAGTCCGACCACATTTGAATTGACGATGCCAGTTCTTGATTACATCATATGATGGGGAATCTTCACCAGAAACCTCTTTCATCTCATCAAACATCTCCTTTGGTGTGCATTCTTTCAAGTAAAGGAACTTGAGGACTGCTCTGTATTCCACTGGGTCCATTGTCAAACCTCACACCACTTCAGCACCTGTAATATCAAGACCGTTCTCAGTTCTGAGTTGTAAATTGGCCTGTAACCTATAGAGACTTATATCATTTCACATGTGCAGTTTCAGCATCCTATGATAAATAGGTCAGGCGAAATCTTTAATGAACATCCCTCGTATATGAAATACAGAAACATGAGGTTTTATACAGTGGACAGCTATTCAAAACTTCCCACTCCACCTACTCCCTTTCCTGACTGGCCCATAGAGAGACCGGGCTCCACCTTCTGTTGTGGTTTCATTAGTCACGTGGCTAATAATTTGAGAAGGATGCCTGGAAGGGAATGGGACAAGGCTTGTGGCCATGGCAGGTCTTTCCCCATTCCCCAAGGGACATCTCTCAACATGGTTTTGCAAAGAAGCTTTTGGATGGAATGGATCAAGGCATACCCCTCTGCAACAGCTCAGCTCATGCACCAGATGAGGGTCTGCATCTGACTGGTCATCTGTCGGGAGTGCTTGATTGTATTTTCCTGCAATGATAGTGGGTTGGACTGGATAGCCTCTAGAGGTCTCTTCCAATTCTAGAATGCTGTGATTTGATGACAGTCCCAACAACAGTGGAGCCCATAAGCATCTGGCCCCCTTCTGTCCCTAAATTTCAAGCATTGTAGAGAATGAGACACAAGTCAACATTCCCAGTTAGGACTGCTATAGCTTCTCTCTTTTTTTCTTGGGAAAACAAATGTATTTCTAAAGGCTTGATGAAAGTTTTGAATTTCTACAATCCTAGAGATTGTAGTAATTCAAAATGGGACTTGCCTAGAGATTTACAGCAAGAAATTTGACCAGAATTTTTGAGTTTGTCAATGCTGGAGGTCAGACTAGATGGTCCTTGGGGTACCCAATGCTATTGGTATGAACCCTCGTTTCAGGTTTCATGGGCAAAATCCACCCAGGGGGACTTTATCTTGGAATCAGGTCAAGCAAAGCCTGGAAATGGCAAACAAATCGGGAAGGAACATCTGAACCACTTCAGGAACCTCTCCTGGGCTTTCTTCCCACTCATCTGCCTTTGTATTTGGACCCAAGTGCCTCTCTGGCCGTGACATCACCCTGCGCATGAATGGGCCTTTATGCAAGAGAAAGGCGAAACCAGGCACCTCTTGTTATTTATCCTGGCCTTTGCCAGCCAGTGACTGAGCATGGAAAGTCACAGACCAGCTGGGTTTTTGAAGCCCACAGAAAGCATTCAGAAAGGGGCTCCACAAACCACCCGGTGTTTGGACTGTGAGTTTGTGGTACCCAGAGCTTGGACGGTCATCTCTCTGAAGGGCTTCTGTGGTGGAAAAGTACCCTGGACTGCCTCCAAGGAGAGCCAGGAGGAAGGACAAGGAGGGGAAACCGCTCCCAAGCAACAAACAGCTGGAAGGGGGGGGCTTCACAGCTGCTTTGGCCTCTCCAGGCTTCAGAGGAGAAACCCAACTCTCCCCCACTTCCGATGACCTCACTTGCTCTTTTCCCCTTGAAACCTTTGACAGAAAGAATTGGGAACATTTGTGACTCCAACCCTTCCTTCTCCTTGGCTGGAAGGGGCTTTGGAAGGAGGAGAGAGTCCGGAGACATCAGAAAGACTGTGAAGCGTGTAAGGTGGGCATTTGGGCAGGAAAAAAATGACATGCACACATTGAGGATGGAAAACACATGGCTTGCCAATACAATGGAAACTCAACTTAAGAGTGTCCCAACGTACAATCGTTTTGAGTGAAGAGCCGTCGCTCAGCCCTGGTTTCACTTTGACATGCAAAAAAGCATTTTGAGTTAGGAGTCCAGGGCTTTA